ATTATTTGTTCTTGCACCTGACCAAAAAACAAAGAATGTCGTTTACCACAAGGTGTATCCCAACCTGAACAACATAGCTTCAACAATTTTTTACCTAGAAATAATGGATAGGGCAATGCAACGTTTGCCGGCCAGCTAGTTTTTTTTAATATTTATTTGCTGTTCTGACTAAATTGTGTTGTGTTGAGAATAATATAATAATAAAACAATAAAAATCGATCTATTGTAATAATAATAATGAACACAGCATGCTATCTAAACACTGTTCAAGAATATCATATTAAATGCAGTAAAATACTTACCTTAAATAACATTTTAAGAATTTACATCTAATATTCATATCCATCGTAAAAGCAGTTTTTGAAATGTTTTCATGTGCATTATCCTCCAGTATGAATGGAGATGCTGCTAATAACGAACTTAATCGATCGTAAATTGAAATATCGAGCTCTGCAGCGCAGTCGTCTAAGGTTAACTCAATTTTGTTGCTGGTAATATTATGGTTTTGCTTGAAAAGACACGAGGAGATATGGGACAGAATAATTTCAGGTCGAGTGTGATATCCGTCTTGGCAGTTCTGCAGAAAAAAGTTTAAAATATGATTTTGTTTAATATTTTATTATATTTGTGTGATATCATCGTTTAAAACATATTTGAGAATATCTTCGGAGGAGGAGGAGGATTAAAACGAGATTACAAAAGAAATAATTAAACTTACTTTTTTTCGGTCAAACAAAATTAAATGATTAATTTTGTTATCGAGAATTTCACAGATGTCAAACATCGTTGCTGATAATGTTGTTTTTAAAATCAATTCATTACAGAATCTTTTCTGATTTCCGCTTACTAATAATGATGAGACCATTATCAACAGATAATTTTTGTTAGGTATTGGAACATACAATTTCTCGTCAGCCTTTTCGATAGTTGCCGCTTGAAAAAAACGACTAGCAGTTTCGAAATAGTTCGTCAAACTTTGAGTGGTATATATACAGCTAGACCCAATATCATTGGAAGCATTTTCAATTAGAATATCGCTGTGCAAAATAACACCTACAATTTTATATATTTGCAATTTGAACTTTAAAATTTCACCAGATTTTTCATCAGATCCTTCATTTATTTGAGCGTTGCTATACGATGTAGTTATGCTGTTTGTAGACATCAAAGAGATTAGAGATTCGCATGTTTTTGACTTTTTGTTATCATTAAATATACATTCTTCAGCACACCATTCCTTATCTTGTTCAACAATTCCAGACATTTTTGTAGATAAATTTGTTTTCTGTATTTCAGGTTTTAAGTCAGAATAGTTCTTGATCAACTTATCATTTGGGCGTACTTTATCAAACCCTTTGAATATCCGAATTAACATATGTGTTTGACGTGGGGTCAACATGAAATAAATATCGTCTATTGTAACTTCCAAGTTAATTTTTGGACCAATAATTTTTTCGGTTTGCTTAACACTTATTTTAAAATTTTGACATCCCTTAAATTCAACAATCTTACAAAGCCGTTCAACAGATAGCAACTCCTCTAAATTAGTCTCAGTATTTGATATTTCTGAAGTATGAATCGTTAGATCAGAAGTTACCAGATTGTGTTTAGCTATCATTGGTAACGCATTCATATTGAGAGGAGACTTATCTGTGATGCCGTTTTCAGTTAATTCTCCATTTGAGCAAAAATATTTTTCATATCCAGTTTGGTTTTTGTATTCAATATGATTTGCTTTGATTGATATGATGAGCTTCTTAGCTGATTTGGGCAGCAGATACTCGATATTAATCGTTGTGTTAGTTAAGTTTGCATGTATTCTATTAAGAACTGATAAAAATAAGAAAATGATTAATTAATTATTATTATTATATTATTATATTCATTCACGAAAAAGAATGTGTGAATAGTAGTTAGATTATGGTTAGCTTGTTGTAAGAACCGGCCAAAAATGAGGTCTCAGTATTAGAGCTAAACTTAGCTACTAAATTGCTGACGGGATGTGAATGTGCACTCTACAGTTGATAACGTCCGACTGCAACGTTATTACTTGTATTATAGTTTAAATAACTTATAAATACAGTTGCATTGATTATTTAGTTATGTAATTAAAAGTCGGACGTACCTTATTGTTCTTCTATATTTAGTTTTACTATGTTCCGAAAACCATTGATTATATGAATATTAAAGTATTAAATAGCTAGATAATAAAAACTTTGTTGCCATACATATGTTGTTAGACGAAAAGACCGATAAAAATTCAAAAAGATGGCGCTCACCTTACGAAAGACTGGGATAATGACTGCTCGACTACGAGATCCCCTGAACCCTTCGAGTAACAATATTTCAATATTTATTGGCACTTGCAGACACGCGTTGGCTGCAGTGTGTGCAGTATTTAATAACTTTTCTTGTGGGTAGACTATCTTCATTAAACTTTTAGATTATGATTATAATATTAATATATATGTATTTGCCAAAGCACAGTCTCTACTTGATATACGCCTTTAACAAAAGTGCGGGTGAGG